ACACCCACTAGCCACAGTGAACAATACGGGTTTTATAAAATCCATAAACTGTTCACGTGTGACCGAACAGATAAAACACATTAATATTTGTAAACGAAGAGGTAATAACTTCCAAGTTATAGGAAGTGTTGTGAACTTCTCAATAGCCTGATGCCCCTAGGGTGTGCCTAGGGTGAGAGGGTCATTCCCCATCAGGCATGATGTTGACTACAACCTGCAGTATATCACGGCCTGTAGTATAAACCAATGTCGCATGAGAGAGAGAGAGAGAGGAAACATTATTGAGGCAATTTGTGTGTTTCACTGAGTAACATGTTAACTGGAAGGGAAAAGATGGCGACGACATGGGTCTTCCCCAAGGAGGCAGGAGTTCAATGATGTCATCATTGACCAATGAGGGAGGAGCAAGGTGTTGACGCGTCATGAGCACAAGCTCCATCATTGGTGAAGGCGTCAGTTGCGAGTGTGAAGTCGAAGAAGTCACACGCTACTCGTCGCTACCTCAAGTTAAATGTATAGTTCTTCGTGCCTTGGTAAAGGAAGTGTCATGAACTGTGACAGAGATAAGTGCTGTCGGGCAGATGAAGGCGGTTGTGGTCCCAGCCTCGATCTATGAAGCCAGGAGCGACATTCTGAAGCCAGTAAGGGGGAAGGCATTCCGGTGTCCACCATGCTAAACCTTCAAGAGGTTTTATTTGTCCACAGGAGAGGACACTGTGACAGGTCAACCAAGGGTGGCGCCTGTGTCTGACCCCAAAACGCAAGTCCGGAAGAGAAATTTCGACAGTGGCAGTCGAAATAAGATTTGTGGGCAACGTGGAGGAAGGTAGACCCCTTCCAGGCGCCATCTTGATTTGTTGAGACATACGTTGTCGTACCGCGAGTTTTGCGGTTAGGAGCTTTTTGTTGTCCATGTACAGTAGGAAGTGCTCAGGGATCTATAGTAAGCCTCGGTGTGACCTTAATAACCCGTATTTATAGTGAATCTTGGGGAATTGAGAGATGATAGCATGATGAAGGCTAGAGCGACAGATGCTAACTCATTGACGGTTGGTGGACAACTGAATAGGTGAATGGGAGATCAAACTTCAAATGGCTTCGCCCGTTGCGGGGAAGACCACTCGGCAGGATTGCCAGATCCGCCACCAGTGGTATGTGGGGAGTTGTGTGAGAGGTTTTGTTTTAATTCATTTTCTAGTTGTTTGTAAAGGAGAATTATTTTTTGCTTAATTTGAAATTACAGGTTCGTGCGCGGTAGCTAAGAAGAGCTAGTTTCATCTGACGACCAGGCACTTGGTGGTGCAACCACTGACTTGTAGAAAATAATTCGTCAGAGATGAAATCCATCCTGAGTAATGGAGGATTGATCCACAGTCGTGATCCACCAGGGATCATTTGTCATCTTTATTTGGTTGTGGAGAAGATTCCATTGTCACTGTATAAGTGACGCTGTGAACGGGGGAGCGAGTGTTTGTCTTCTTATATCGTATATACTTTGATGTTGGGTGACTACAAGACCCGTATCCTGCAAGATTAATCATGGAGAGAGGAGGAGCCTAGAGTAAGGAGAGAGAAGGAGCTGAGGCAGTGACTATTGATGTTGAGAAAAATGTTTACCATATTGACGAGGAGAGAGACTATTTAGATTTGTTAGTTTGATGTGAAGGACACTTTGGTGAAGAGTTTGTAGTGCTGATATTATATACCAGGATTGTTGATGATTGTGTTTATTTATTGAGAGATGCATGTTCATATTAGGCAGTGATTGTGGTAAGCAGAGGCTTATAGCACTAGACAAAGATTATAATATGTTAGCCTGTGGGGCATGTGAAACAGACATTCCAAGTTGTATGACTTGTAAGGTTGATGAGGCTGTAACCTAGAGTTGAGAGTTGGGTCGAGGACCCCTTTCAAGGCATCATTTGTTTATGTATTGTATGGCTTTATATTAAGTGTTTGTTAGAAGACTTCTTTCCCCCTGTCCCCTGTGAGGTTTTTATTGAAATAAAAGAGAGGTGATAACTTCGACCTGTGGGTTAAATAATTGAGTTAAATAACCGGGGAACCGGAATTATCGGGAAGTCCCATGTCATTGCCATCTTTCCATACCAGTTAACATTGACGTTACTTAGTGAGACACAAATTGCCTCAACCATGCCTCCTCCCTCTCTCTCTCTCATGCGACATTGGTTTACACTACAGGCCGTGGTATACCGCAGGTTGTAGTCAACATCATGGTTGGATGGGATATGTCCCTCACCCTAGGTGCACCCTAGGTCACGAGGCCATTGAGTGGTTCACAAGAGAATCCATCAAACACGTATAGATCCCCGCTAAGTTTTATGTAAATAATGTTGCTGTAAGATTTGATTATCAACATTGCAGTCAGCTAATTAATCCCAATTTCAAGACGTTCTTTAATGCCAAACTGAATGTCGACAGCGAAATTGAGTGACTACTTGCCTTGATATTCAACTTCAAGGATTAACTTGCGTGATTAAATAGGCGTGTTGGCAGTGTCTCGTGTTCTCAACAGTGACAACACCTGTGGTAATCTCCAGGTAAATGTGTATACGATGAAGACACGAATCTTGCATAAAGATGTTTTTCACTTTTTCTCATTCTGGTTCAGTGTTGCAAGAAGGAGCGAACTATCCAGTCACCTAAAATCTCCTTAAAAAATTTAAGACATGACTTGCTCTCAATTTATATTCTTACACCAGCCAAAGGAGGAAAAAGGTACATAAAGGAAAAGATGGCTGGTCAGTGTGCACTGACAGAGCTTTGATTGACACACACGATATTATTTGGTCCGTGTTAGCACAACTAACGTTGCGTTAGCAAGAAATATGGATTATTAGCAGCTTTTATTCCAAACATGTGGCCGAGTTAGAGACAGAGCTGCCGCTCTATGGAGTGATACGCTGTGTTGAGAGTAGCAGTAGTAGTAATACTCTCCCACGCAACTCAATCACAAGTTTGTATTGCTTGGCAGATCACCCTCTGCATGGACAGATCACAACTTTACTGACACATCACCATTGCAGGACAAGTTATATGACAGTTTATCACTGCCTGACAGATCGCCACTACTGCATGACAGATCATCACTACTGCATGACAGATCATCACTGCGTGTCATATCAACACTGCATGACAGATCATCACTACGTGTCGTAACTGTTTACATCGTTCGTAGTCTGTCATGAGCTCTAATATATCAAACAACTGACCGCTGATAATTGCCACATATTAGTTATCTACACGGGGTATCAGAGACTGTCTGCTGTTAAGGTCAATTGGGAGGAGGAACCTAGTGTAAGACGAAAGGAGGAGGAGGAGGACCTAGTGTAAGACGGGAGTCTTAGGTCATTTTTGTTCTACAATGAATAGCTGTAATAATGTACCTTGAAAACGACCAGTCGTTGCTTAGCACTAAACAATCGAAGCTTAGAAATACTCAATTGTAGATTGGAAATGTTCAATCATAGCTTAGAAAGGCTCAATCTTATCAAATAAATGCTCAATTGTAGCTTAGAAAGGCTCAATCTTAGCTTAGAAATGCTCAATTGTAGCTTAGAAAGGTTCATTCTTAGATTAGAAATGTTCAATCTTAGCTTAGAAAGACTCAGTCTTAGCTTAGAAATGCTCAATCGTAGTTTAGAAATTGTCTGTCGTAGTTTAAAAGCCCTCAGTCGAAGCTTAGAAATGTTCAAACACACTTGGAAATACTCAGTCGAAGCTTAGAAATGTTCAAACACACTTGGAAATACTCAGTCGAAGCTTAGAAATGTTCAAACACACTTGGAAATACTCGGTCGTAGCTTAGAAATACTCAAACGTAGTTTAGAAATATTCAATCACAGCTTAGAAATGTTCAACCATAGCTTAAAACAAATGATTCATCATGGCATAGAATTCATCTCAAACGTTGGCTTAAAAACGTTAAACAGTGGCATTTAAATGATAATTTCATAGTTAATAAAAGTTCAATCGCAGCTAAGATATGTTAATTCGCAACATAAATATATTTTTTGTTATCATTCGTAGTTATTTACCCGCCAGGTATTTGAAAATTGGCAAACTTGGACGTGACTAGATAACAGTAGCTGTAGCTAAGATAACAGTAGATGTAGATAGATAACAGAGCTATCATAGGAGATGGAAGGTATCGATTCATTCTGAAATATGAGCTCAGTGTCGTATCGTCACGACCCCCAGGGTTAGGTTAGTCTTCCACAGATTCCAGACGACTGATGATAGATGATGAGCATTGGTAGCTATGATATGGAACCGGTAGATGAGATAAGGGCCGGAAAACTTATATAAGGACCGGGAAGCTTATACAAGGCCCCCCTCGAAGCTTATATAAATACCGGCAGCTTATATGATGACTGGCAGATCAGATAGAGACAGGAAGCTTATATAAGAACCGGGAGCTTAGATAAGAGGGGTCCAGGAGCTTATATTAGACTCAGCAGCTTATAAAAAGGTCAGAAACTTAGATAAAGCTCGGCTGATCAGATAGGAATCAGCAGATAAGATTTAGACCGGCAGCTCATCAAGGACCAGCTGTTTAGATAAGATAAGGACCGGCAGCTTAGATAACCGGCAGATAAGGACCGGCAGCTCAGATAACCGGCAGCTTAGATAACTGGCAGATAAGGACCGGCAGCCTAAATAACCAGCAGATAAGGACCGGCAGCTTAGGTAACCGACAGATAAGGACCGGCAGCTTAGATAACCGGCAGATAAGGACAATTAAGGATTCCTAATCTAAACTTCAGAGAGTGAAATGTTCCCCACAATTTCTACATTTTGTTTTTACACTAATTTGACATTTAAAAAAAATACGAAATGAGAAAATTGAATAAAGTGGATTAGAAGAGTAGGCTAAATATGAGGACATAACTTAATAAGACAATATTTTGTGTCGTAATCAATAAAAAAAATATTCATCCAGCAAGGAAAATTCCTCAAAAAAAGAAAAAAACGTGATATGGATCAAAAATAATAATTTAATGGAATTATTCCAACCCGAGGTGAATTATATACAGAAATCTCTATGTTAAATGAAAGCCCAAAGGAGCTGTTGACTGGGGTAACCTGCTGGGGTCAAACGAAGGATCCCAGCAGGTCCTCCTCCCGCGCACAGCACTTCAACTGCCGAAGTGTCTTCTTGAAGGCATCCCGAAAGTCCGTCCTGAAGTAGGCATAGATGAAAGGGTTGAGTGTGGAGTTGAAGTAGCCGATCCAGAAGAGAGTGGTGACGACGGCCTGCGGACACGGGCAGTGGCCGTCACAGATCGTCACCGTCACGTACCAGATGAAGAACGGCAGCCAGCACAAGATGAACGCCCCCATGATGATCCCCAGCGTCCTGGCCGCCTTGTGCTCCCGCCGCATCATGGGATGACTGCCGTTGTGCTGGCTTCCTCCCGCACCGGCGCCAGAATTACGAGTGCTGGACTCTCGCCTGCCGAAGGGCACGGGGCTGATGACCCTGACGGGCAGGCCGCGCCCCGTGTGCCCGTTGATGGAACTACTGCGCGACAACGGAGGCTTCCCACAGGGACTAATGTCTATTCTCTCGTCCGATTCCTCGTTATAAGATAAATCTGGGCTTATTGTACGCGGGCTGACTTCCAGCGAGCCCGAGTGCTCGTTCGGCAGCCCTAATTGGCCCGAATCGTTCACAAAGTTACTATTTATTTTTCTACTGTATGTACACGGGGTTCTGCCACACACGCTGCCGGACCTGCAGACGGCCACCGGCCCCTGGTCAGTACTGAGGTCCGAGCGAGAGATCCGGGGAAGTGGACCTAACTGGAAATCTTGCTGAAACTTCTGTTTGGTTTTATATTTTTTCAATATAGTTGTATTGGAAGATCGAAACGCCGCTAAAAGCTGTTGAGCAGTGGACGAAGCAGAGTTGCGCTGGATGTTATTGATAGTGCAGGTGCTGTTTGTGCGGCTGAGGATCGCCGCCTCCTGCTTCCTGGCCTCCTGCAGGATGCGGGAGTACAAGACCAGCATCACCGTGCACGGTATCCAGAAGGAGATAGCGGAAGATATGATAGCATACACCTTGTTGACTTCGAAGGTGCAGATATCTGGCTTCTCCTTGCGACTCTCGAGGTGATCCTTGGTGGTGTACCAGCCCAGGAAGATAGGCAGGAAGGAGATGAGTGTCGGGGCCAGCCACACGTTGGCTAACATTAATAGTACCGTACTCTTGGTCATGTAGAGCGGGTACTCTAACGGCTTAACTATGGCGTAGTATCTGTCCACACTTATACAGCACAGATGTAATATAGACACGGTTGAAAAATACACATCGAACGAATTCCAGACATCGCACATGGTGTATCCGAACAGCCACTTGCCCGAGATCTCGACGGAGGCATTGAAGGTCATGGCGCACGAGGCCACCAACATGTCGGCCATGGCCAGGGACACGAGGAAGTAGTTGGTGAGCAGCTGCAGTTTGCGGTTGATGCCTATACTGATGATCACCAGCACGTTGCCCATCACCGACACTAGTATGATGCTGACCATCAGTGTGGTCTTGATCACCAACACCGTCACGTCCTCCCACATGGTGCCCTCGCCGCCACCGTCGGCCAGCACGCCGCCATTCTCATCTCTGCCCACGTCGATCTCAGCAGAGGTGGTGAGGCCGGCGGCGGCAGCAGTCTCCGTGACGCTGTGGTGTGTGGGGTCGAGCCAGAGCTGGGTCATGGGCAGCGGTGATGGTGCGTCCATTCAGCGTGGTGAGCAGCTCACTCTCTCACTCTCCGCCCCCCGCCTGCTGGTGTCTGCCTCACACGCTGCTCCGGCCATCGTCGCCTCCGCTCCTGCAAAAAACACAGCCAGTCAGAACTTTCATGTATGTAAAATCAAGCGTGATATATGTAAACATTGATTTATTATTATTATTATTATATATACACACACACATACACGAGTTCTTTCATTCTTGTACAGCCACTAGCACACAGCGTTTCCGGCAAGTCATAATCCAAAATTTTCCCCGGAATACGACCCGCCAAATCATTTAACCAACAGGTACGCATTAACTGCTGAGTTAACAGAGCCTAAAGTTAAAGATTGGCGCCCAGTCAATCCCCCACGGCCACGATACGAACCCAGGCCAAAGGGCTCGCGAAGTGCTGGGCTAGTGCTTTACCACTGTGCCACGGGGACGCCATGATTCTTAAAATACCGTCATGCTCACAAGATAACTAAATAGACCCGTAAAATGATATATTTAGAAGGATATTGGCTAAGCATGAAGTAGCTGTTGTGATGAGTTTATATCATCAAAGAAAATTTAATTGTCTGGGACATTGGTTCCTTATAACAATCGCTCGTGGAGTGACGGCTTGATGGTTCCATGTTTCATTACAATATCCCGGACATTTCCACCTGGGCCCAGCCATGAGTGTACCGGAACAATCATTACACACACACACACACACACACACACACCACCTCAATTACCCTGAATTGGTGTGTGAGGGCGGGAGTACGCTAACGACCCCGAGGGTGTTCAACACCCAAAATGTGGGCAAATATTCCTAGATTGTGGACCGGACTTAGACCAGCACCCTCTCCCGCATGTGGTGGAAGCATACCGAAGTATGAGAATATACTGCGCTGGCAGCCACGTGGTGCAGTCTGGCTGCCCCACCCCACCATTGGGAGTATTACCACTACATTACCACACAAGATCCTACTCCTCCTCCCCCAGTTCGTCGTCACACCGACGTGGGCACCGTCAATATGGGGCTTCACCCTCGGGCCACGGGTGAAGGTCACATTAAGCGATGTCCATTGGTTCTCTGTATTATTATTATTATTATGAATGAACATATCCCCCATCTCCCATTTATATTTGTTAATCTAATGTCCTTCGTAAGGGTATATTTGAGCCCTCCATCCCCCAGGGGGCCCTCCGGGTTGACTATGATAGTCTCCCTGAGGGTTCCCAGGGGTAGAGAACATTTTGCCTCAGACCCTCTCGGAGAGGCAAAGGTGGTATAGATAATAATAATAATAATTAATTAAAAGGGTGGTAAAAACAGGAGGTGGCCGTGATGCGCCACGCTCCCCCACGCCAGACAGCAATACACTCCGTAGTTACCTGGTCCAAAGGGATAGAGTGACGGAGCTCTTGATACTGTCTCTTGATGACATTAACAAGAGACATAGTGAAGGATATATGATCAGTCAAGATGACGTGGTGAAGACAGCTTATGACAGGAACGATGTGAGGGGGGGGGGAGCGTGACAGTGTCATGGACGGTGACATGAAGACATTATAATTTCAGACATATACCTGCCTGTGTGGGACCGAGTTTAAGGAGTTATGAGGATCTTCCGCTAGCATTGCGGTCATTGCATTGCTCAGCATAGACCTCTCGGCATTTCGCTCCTTTCTTTATCGTTTTCAGTGTGCGTGCCTTTTCTTATTAGTAAAGTCCTAGACTTGCATAGTTCTCTGATTTGTTCTTAGCAATTTTTCCCATTTCTTTAAGTTTTTTTTTTTTTAATTATTCATTTCAGTATGAGTGATTTAGCCTGTGGCTCAACTATGTGATTTCTATGTGAAGATTTGCCGGCTCCTATTTGTTTCAAACCTTACTAATTTTTTTTTTAGATCTTTCTCAGTGGGAATTATTTTATCTATTTTTTATATACCTTTGTTATTCCAACAAAGAAAGCAGCCCAGAACCTCTCTAACTCCCAAGAACCTATTTACTGCTAGGTGAACAGGAACTTCGCCCGTTTGTTTTCGACTCAGGCGGGAATCGAACCCCGGCCTGTTGGCCTACGACCCTGTGTGGGCGTAGGAAAGAGAAGAACACCTCAAAATGATGAAAACGGAAGTAAAATAATCACCAACAAGAAGAATAAGAGACATTGTGCAGGTGAGATAAATTCACAAATTAATAACAAAATATCGAGAGCCAAATGATCTAACATGATTACGAATGGAACTTAAATGAAAAAATATAATGGCTAAATGGTTTCAAGGTAGAACAAAAAAAGTGAACATTAATTTTGTTAGAAAAAGTTGAGTAAAATGAACCAAAAAAAATGTGAACAGCGAGTTGCACTCTAGAGGGGAAAATATAGAGGAACTGCACGTTGCAGAATGCAGTACCGGTGGAGACGGGCGAGTTTCAATGAAATAGTCTAAATTTTAAGGGAATTTCACGAACAATTGTTTTGACAACGTCATGAAAGGTGTTGCAATGATGGTACCAATCCAATCGATTGGTACCATCATAAGACTCCTCGATTGGATTCCAGTCGAGGCGTCAGTGGTCGTCGGATGACGACTGGGCCTCATGCACTCATCAATCATCACACACAAATTGTCATCAGATAAAATTTGACAATTAACTCCAAAGTACATATCGATACTCATTAACTCACTATTACATAAATAAACGAACATTTCACTATTCACTTGCTGATGGTAATCCACGAGTTACAATGACACTCTTTGAATAATTGCATATGTTGCCCTACATCATATTTGCAATCACAATTAAGTTATCAGAAAACCCCTAGGAACAAGTTACCTATAAACTGTAACAATATTAGTATTATATGCGTCTTGTTGTTGACGGGAAGGAACCAATTGCACTCAAGATTCCGTCTCCAGGTCAACGTCTTTTCCCGGTTTATGTAAACTGTTGTACCGAGCGCTGTCATTGGCTGGTGCTCTTGGCTGCATCTCCTCCGTGGCCTCTGATTGGGCCAACTACCAGCTATCAACCACTTTGGCTCAAAAAAACACTCTATTAAGCTTTAATAAACTGTTTTAGCACTAGTATCCCAGAGACGTAATCAGTTGGATTATTATTTTTTTGTTAGTACTTGCCTAAACTCTAACCTATATACCTTCACCTCTCTTGTGTCCTGCTAGTATCCTTCACCTCTATTGTATACTATCACAATACAAAAGAGGTAAAGGATATCATCAATATACAAAAGAGGGGAAGGATACCATCAGTACACAAAAGAGGGGAAGGATACCATCAGTACACAAAAGAGGGGAAGGATACCATCAGTACACAAAAGAGGGGAAGGATACCATCAGTACACAAAAGAGGGGAAGGATACCATCAGAACACAAAAGAGGGGAAAGATACCATCAGTACACAAAAGAGGAGAAGGATACCATCAGTACACAAAAGAGGGGAAGGATACCATCAGTATACAAAAGAGGGGAAGGATACCGTCAGTACACAAAAGAGGGGAAGGATACCATCAGTACACAAAAGAGGGGAAGGTTACCATCAGCACACAAAAGAGGGGAAGGATACCATCAGTACACAAAAGAGGGGAAGGATACCACCAGTACACAAAAGAGGGGAAAGATACCATCAGTACACAAAAGAGGAGAAGGATACCATCAGTACACAAAAGAGGGGAAGGATACCATCAGTACACAAAAGAGGGGAAAGATACCATCAGTACACAAAAGAGGAGAAGGATACCATCAGTACACAAAAGAGGGGAAGGATACCACCAGTACACAAAAGAGGGGAAGGATACCACCAGTACACAAAAGAGGGGAAGGATACCACCAGTACACAAAAGAGGGGAAGGATACCACCAGTACACAAAAGATGGGAAGGATACCACCAGTACACAAAAGAGGGGAAGGATACCACCAGTACACAAAAGAGGGGAAGGATACCATCAGTACACAAAAGAGGGGAAGGATACCATCAGTACACAAAAGAGGGGAAGGATACCACCAGTACACAAAAGAGGGGAAGGATACCATCAGTACACAAAAGAGGGGAATGTTACCATCAGTACACAAAAGAGGGGAAGGATACCATCAGTACACAAAAGAGGGGAATGTTACCATCAGTACACAAAAGAGGGGAAGGATACCATCAGTACACAAAAGAGGGGAAGGATACCATCAGTACACAAAAGAGGGGAAGGATACCACCAGTACACAAAAGAGGGGAAGGATACCATCTGTACACAAAAGAATGTTAACTTAAATCGAAATAATTTCTTTACAAACATTTCACTGTGCACAATACAAAAAAAAAAAGTCCCCGTCAATAAAAAAAAAAGATCTAATCTTACTGATGGAATTGAAAACAGATAAAACTTGTGTTGACTCATTGACCCGAGCGTATAACACCCGGTGTTATACAAAAGCATTATGAACGGTGTTATAAAAAACTCTATACACGGTGTTACACACAAGCACTATACCTGGCGTTATACACAAGCACTATACCTGGTGTTATACACAAGCACTATACCTGGCGTTATACACAAGCACTATACCTGGTGTTATACACAAGCACTATACCTGGCGTTATACACAAGCACTATACCTGGCGTTATACACAAGCACTATACCTGGTGTTATACACAAGCACTATACCTGGTGTTATACACAAGCACTATACCTGGTGTTATACACAAGCACTATACCTGGCGTTATACACAAGCACTATACCTGGTGTTATACACAAGCACTATACCTGGTGTTATACACAAGCACTATACCTGGCGTTATACACAAGCACTATACCTGGTGTTATACACAAGCACTATACCTGGTGTTATACACAAGCACTATACCTGGTGTTATACACAAGCACTATACCTGACGTTATACACAGTAAGATTATGTCCAATATGTTTAACAACTTCTGGATATTTGGTTGGATATCTGTACACAGACGATGTTCCAGTGGTCGGTCGAACATCTCTCCACGGCTCTGGTCTCTTTTGGAACGCGTAAGCCTATTTCCTAAGCCCATGGGTATATCCGAGCCTGATGATCCGATGCCAGTGCAAGGCGAGT